TATATATAGTATATATATAATATATTATATATATATAAATAANACACACACACACACACACACACACACACACACACACACACACACACACACACATATATATATATATATATTTACGATTCGAATTCTATACTTGAGTTTGGCTGTTGCACTAATGAGAAAGTAAATTTTGGTTTTCTCATTATCTAACTGTTGGCAGATAATTGAGTTTTGTCTGGACATGCTTAGTTCGAATATGGACTTGTTTTAGTAAAATAACTAACAATATACGATTGATCAATCTGTTGCAGAAAATAGAGAGAAGCAGATTGTTCTTGACTGCTCTAAGCGAGCAGCAAGTACAAACATGTACATATAAGATCACGTTAGTGCATTGATCGATAAGCTTATCGAGGGAGTTCAGATATAGACATACCATACTTGCCACAGCAGTAAGAGAAAACGATGATGGTCGCAAAGGATGGTACGAGAGCCCACCGATCGTACTCCTTGGCGAAGTCAGAAGAATGCATGTTGTGCTGATTCTGCTATATTTTTTCCGAGATGCTAGGATGTATCTACGCATACATCTGTGGGCAACAATGTGTACTTCTATAACGGTCAGCGTACAGATAGTATCCCTGTGCAGTGTACAGGTACCACGCAGTTCTTGTGCAATTAGAATGACCTTACTTGTTGCTCGCACTCCTGGCCCTGCGAACGATAGCAACAGGTATGTACATAGCTTCGAGCGTTCATATATAGCTGCATGACAATTTTCGGATCCAGATTCGATTGTCAAGTATTGTGCGAGTAGAATGTCAAGACGGGGTTCAAGGGGCACCCCCTACCCATAGAGGCAGGATGTTCATCGCAGCAACCAGATTTCAGATTATGAGATAATGTGTACTTCAGGATGGGGAACCCTAAAAAAACTTATCCCTTCATCTCTAACCAATCATATTTCTGATGACGTTCTTCGTGCCGACATTCTCCCTCTATATTACAATAAATGTTGACAAAAAAATAAAAGAGAATCGCCATCGGCAGGCGAGTCCCTTGCCCGAATGCCCGGGGCTTGTAAGTTGCACCTTCTCTTGCATCTTCGTTTTTATTTAAAACAAAAAAACAATTGATTAAAAAAATCACAAACAGTGCAGTACATATTTTTTTAAAAACCACAAGAGTCCTAAATAATAAGAAAAAATCATTTATATTTTTTTGTATTCTAGCTCAGTGTGTCACAGCCCACGGCCTACAGGTCCACAGGATGTCGCGTCGAAAAAATTGTAGTGTATGTACGTGATCGAGCAGCTGACCTAAGAGTTGCGGTTATGTTCCCGAACCAAGTGTGTGTGTGTGCATATGATACTTTTGACTGCTTCTGGAATGAATTGATCGACTATTTCCGAATTCTAGTTGTATAAAAATAATCTTAGAAAACTTCAATATTATGATTGGTGTCTCTGTTTTAGCGCGTGTCGAAATCAATGTTGTCATATATAACCGCTGCCAAACACACTCATCTGAAACTCCCGAGTAATCGAAAGATAAAACAAAAAATCCAAACCTGACTTCCATTACATCCAGAAAGCATCGTGGAGAACCGTGGAGAATGATACCCATAAAATCTTTCATCATATGATCCTTCGCATTGTTGTCAAATATCCGTGATATTGTTATAACCACGCCCAAAAAACTTGGCCCCCTCGTAAATAAAGAATTGCAACAAGATGTCATTGCGAGAGTTCGTGTGAGCTCAAAGCCCAGGAACAAAGGGGCTTCTGGGATCGAATATTGTGCTGATATCGAGTACATAGAGCAGTACTATCCACAAGTAGCAAGCCGATTTATTATTTAGCGCCGAAAGGAATGCCTTCACTTCGCAGGTGATTTGCGTTGGGATATGTGAACCTACACAACAAATTTAGTAAAAGCACAAAAATAATTTTGTAGTATTCGAGTTGTTAATCCGTCCGTGTGCAGTGATATTCGCCAGGCGACGCTGCGCCTGATCAATTATGAATACAGTTGCCCGTCAAAGTGGCATATGTACCACGACACATATACATAATCTACAATAGAGGGTGATTGCAATGATCTACTCTCTTCCGAGTTGCTGTCTTGAAAATCAAGAGGTTGTCAGTTCCGAGCGGTGTATTCGCAGTATAATATTCGAATAGTATTTATACACCGAATCCTCATTAGTGGTGGTGCACATATATCTTGGGCGTGACAGAGTTAAAATACCGTCTGCTCGCTAACAGACTTGATAGACCATCGAACCATCAGGTGTTTTATTTCGCGGATTGACCATGCACAAGCTGATAGTGGCCAAGGTCTTAACCGACTTAGTCATTGAATTTTTATAGATATTCACGGGCGGTGATACTGAGGCCTCTCACTACGTTGGAATATGATGTCGTGATATACACCGGTAATGTGCCGAAGTTGCACTTTGTAGTTGACTAGCGATACAATTTTCCAGTATTCAATGATAGATTCTGTATGTTCGATCCCTCCGGAGTTCCAGAAAAACCGTCCGCGAATGTATGAGCTCACAATCCTGTCATTCGTTTATATGCTTAGCGGTGTTATGCGGTTCAAGCTTGATAGTACGCGAGGCATATGCCACAAAGAACTAGTCATCGTTGAACCCCCATGCGTCGTCACACAGGAAGTCCAGCGGACTCTCAACGGTGGCCTGCTGGGAGTACGTGAATACGTGACAAAACATGTGGTATTGACGTGTATTCAGTTTAATGCAAAATGATAAGTCAAATGCCTTTGTAGTACGCACAAGCAATGTGAGTTGACTCAGGTTCAGTTAACGAACACTACAACCGTAATATCGCATACACAATGCGAGTTAATTGCACATGATTGAACTAATGCAGGGTGCTGACCTATGTTGAAATCTCAACTATTCTTCGCTATCGAACAGCCTAAGGCACTTGAGTTCGTGCTTGCCGTAATGACAAATAAGATTTCAGAATATCTTGACTACGTTTGCTTGCGTATACTCGTGTGCAAAGCTTGCCTGAAAATGGGCTTGAGCATTTCACCGTTCTCCATCTCTATCATGCAATGGAACTCAAACAAATAGTATCGCGTTGCCACTAGCAAACTTGAGAGGGTCATTCTGCAAGTGGAATACGGCTTCAAGGATAAAAAAAATCGCGCTAAGTCAGTGGCACAGATTTACGTCACCTGCACGGTGTTTTCTGTCTGGCTTTTCTTGCCGCGAAAACCGGTACGTGAGGGCTTAGGAGGCTGCACAAAGAGATACAGTAATCATTGGTTAGCTGTCTTCAGGTTGAGCTTAGATACACCGTATTTTTTCAATATTTGATTGTCGCTTTTACATCTCATTAGAGTATGCATTGCATACAAAGTTAGCAGCTAACAACTTCTGGTCATAAAGTGAGTGTGTTTACACACCAACGCTTTGACTTGAAACAAAAGATGTCCGGGTTTACCTCCCGTAGGTTGACTAATAGACGCACATACTGAGTCACGCTGAGGTGTGAGAGAAGATTCCTTGCGGAATTACACAAGCATCTTGACAAGAGATTTTTAACTTGGTACAGAGAGCACGAGATTTATGCCAGAGACATCCTACAAACTACCGTTTATTTATTTGGAGTCAATTAGGGCATGCGCTATTGAGGTAGATTTAAATCTGCGGCCTAGTTGTTGAAGTCCAATAATCTGATAAAGCCAACTACGTACAAAGTTCAAAAGTGTTCATAGACACTGGGCGCTAAAATGATAACTACACGCGAAGTAAGGTGTACTTACTATTGTGCTTCACAGTGATTAGTTAACAATAAAACAAATCAATTATACTGTCTCGCTAGTTCTTCAGGTGATGATCGTACACATAATTATTTATACACGGGACACAACCATGCCTGTACGGACAGCTGCATGTCTGATGAATGCGTTCATTTGAAAAAGACATACACACTTACTGGATAAATTTTTAAACCGTCTTAAATCTTCCACTTAAACTCATATAGGCATACATACGTTGTTAGTCGCAGCTGTGATGTCACGGAAAGGCATGACTTCCGGTGTACCTGGCTGGCGGGTCTATATTGTTCCATACTAATAAGTTAGTATGATACATATAGGTGCGGAAAATAGCTTCCCTGTACGCATGTTACTTTCAAACTCGAATACAGGTTCATTCTGATACAAACATTTTCCTGACTCTTGAGCTCCAAAGCTTTTAAGGCATTCTTCTTACCAATATTTGCGTTTTTCAGCATACATATGATTGTTTGATAAGATCTTGCCTACATTCCGATACATTAACTACCTAACTTCCGGCTTGTTACATATTCAGTGCAACAAACATATTTACAAATCCTTATACGAATTTTGCCAATCTGACTCATAAAATTTGTGATCCGAGACAAGAGTACAACAGTATGCAGCACCCTCAGAAGCTCTCTGAACTGGATAGAATATTCAATTGCGATATTCAACAAAAGCGCATAAAAATAAACAGCCTCAAATGTCGGACCAATACCTCGCTAGAAGGCGTTTTGCGCTTGGCTAACGGTGGCCGGTTTCCGCCGCTTGGGAGCTGTATGACATAAACAGAGTTTTATGAAAGTCGGTATCGTCGAAGCATTTGTTATATCTCAAAGTTGAAGTAGCTACTGTGATTCCCTTTTTTTTTGCATTTGGTCTTCTGAAAGGTGCCCTCGATGCGAATAGAGAAACAAAGATTCAAAAGCTAGATTACGCGATACTTCACACTTCTACCCCATCCTTGGAAATACAAATACATTCCTCCAACATTTTTCACCGATTTTTCCTTCAGATGTTTGCGGAAGAATGTCCACATACACACAGGTAGTTAAATCGTTCCGCACTCCAGGAAGATGCACACACGAGTCTTGCCGGTTACATTCGATCATCAACTAAGTCTGGTGTTGGAGGTTCCAGATGTACCTGAAGGTTCCACATGACCAGTGATTTGCAGTATGCAATGTCAACCTTTAAGTGACACAACCGGCACCAGACAGTACACACCTGGATAGCCCAATCATCCTCCGGCGCCTGATTTTCTTTGTCATCGAGGATCTCGGCCGCAGAGCTATCACTCATGGCACTATCACCATTGCCATGATTGTCATCGGCCTGCAATGTATACAGTTCATGTCGAGTGAGCAATAAAAAAGATACATTTGAGATCGAACACGCATGGGCATGAGCACATTTGGCTATCATGATATACGTTACATGCAAAATATGGACGGGGTCATCCAAATACTTTTCACATGTGTAGGAAGGTATGCATGCCACTACTGGGTTAATCCGAATGTATTTTTTTTACCGTTACACAAATTTACACAAGTAAGAAAAAATATCCTTCGTCTTGGACGGATCCGTAGCCTAACCTCAGGAATATACAATCTTATAACTGCACCAATCGGCAATCATCTTCGCACTCAATCTCTCAGCGGTGCCATAGCACACCATATCGAAGGAATTACGCACCCATCTTGTCGACTCACATCTTTTGTACATATTGATAAACATACAGCTTTCGCCTTATCTTGCACATCTTTCTTTGCCTTCGCTTTGGGTTTAGCCGAGCTCTTGGACGGACCCTTTGGCTTTCTGGGTGTCTTTCGGAACGTCTGAGAGGTCGTAAGAGATTTTATTATCAGTATTCAATCGTAGAATTACATTGCTTCTTTCACCCTAACCTCGCAGCATGTGTTCTGGTCAAGCACGTACATCTGTCATAGTACTCATATAGTTTTCGGGAACAAATTCATAGTCGATAGCAATTGCCCATAACCCTATGTTGTCGCAATTAACAGAAATTGCTGTCGTACTGTTCAGATTTTCAGATTTTGTCAAAATCTTATCTTGATAAATCAGAAAATATAAACAAATCTTCATGGAAGCCACCTTGCCCTTGACGGCTGCAGTCTTCGTCTTCACTTGTACGGGCGGTACAGGAGAAGTTGAATCTTCAGAGAGTGAGGTGATCATGTGGCGTTGCACAGCCGCGCTCCTACGTCTAAAGAGCGAGGTTAAAGGGGCAAAAGCGTAATAGTACTGAGAGAGTGACGAGGTATATATGAGCCATAAAGTCAACGCTTGCAGTCCCTATACTTGAAGACTTAGAAACATTATGCAAGACGCGAGTATGCGTACACAAGTACATGGATGCGAGAACATGACAATTTTGTGTGCGTTTGTGCTTGTGTGCATATTTGGTCGAAACAAAAGTATGTGTACATGTCCATATGACGTTTTTTTGAAGATATTCATATACAATAAGATTTATTGATATGAACATAGACCAATAAACGATGACCGGCTATAATAATATGTACATGACTATATGTTAGTTACGGGAGTACCTGTGTGTTCATATTTATCATTGCGTATTCATATGGCATATGCGACAATAGAATGCTTTTCGCAGTTTTTCGCGCAAAATGCGTACCTGGGACGGGATGTAGTCGCGGTTTTTGTACCCTTGCTACTTTTTTGCCCCACACTCGCCTCACTTTTCTTACCGCCATCACCAGTGATGTTTGGCAAAGGGTGTAAGGCAGTATCGGCTGACTTACTGCGAGATCGTACATTACCCTTAGGTTTGGTTCTGGCCTTCCGTTTGGGAAGTACGTCAGACGCAGTGGTCGTGGCGGTTGGGGGTACGCTTGTGGGAGCTTTCGGCGAGTGAATGTCCTTTGTTATATTGCTGTAAAGCGTGTAAGCAGACCAGCTATCGTGAATAGAACGAAAAGATGCTTGAAGCTATCGTTAGTTGATAAAACACTGCTGGGACGCCGCGGGGACTGAAAGCGCATAATTATAGGGGAAATTTACTTGTTTATATTCAGACATTCTGATTCGGGCCTATTGATTATTTTGTATAGGGTCTCAAATGGGCAAAATCCATTCCAGCCGAAAAAAAAAGGCGCCACCGACGATTTTTGGCGACGGACAAAAATCGGTGATAAAGTCGACAGAGACTTAGAAAAGCTTACGCTTTCAGTAATAAAGTTGATGGTTGTACTTCTAAATGAGTGAGTGCGATATAAGTTTTGCTATTTAAGCAAAGACTACACTACATGGGTACACCATATGTGTAGATAAGAAAATCGTTGAACTCATATTCAAGAAATGAAAGCGAATAGCAGTATTCGGCGCACGGATTACCTCGTATTCCTCTCATTTACGACTCATAAACATAAGTTATCGTATAGTGCATACAGTTCTGTTGCCGTCGGTTGGTCTACCGTGAACGTGTCGCGAGGCGGATTATCGATAATAACGGCGTCGGGTTCGTTAGCCAAGGTTTCGCCCGGAACGTCCAAAACCATGTCCTCAGAATCCGGATTTTTTTCTCGGGAAGTCAATCCGCTGTCCCGTACTACTGCATTCCAATCCGTATCCTGCTATCGACAACACGGAAAAGACCAACACAGATAATCAATTTTTCGACAGGACAGGTCGCGTAATATAGACATGTACGGGTGGCCGATATGCAATCCTAATAGTGTTCACTGGCGGTTTCAGATGCCCGAGTGGAGGTATCTAAATGAAGAATACACAGCCACAAAGAATGGAGTAGGTAATTTTATCGATGCAGATCTCTACCTCATGGCCAAGATTTTCAAGGAGACAGATACCCATCAGTGATACACGGGTTTCTCACATTTCTCGGGGGAGTACGAAATCTCAGGATTCTGACCAAGACCGAATCAAACAAACATCGAATAGATCGTTCAGGGGCAGGAATAGCCATCATATTCGATTAATGGAAAATAAACCTTATTACAGTCTCAAAACAGACCTATACTCCCACATTAATGCCTCCGAATGTTATTTCAACATTATTGTGCGGCTGAGGTTGCCCACCACCCCTGAATCAAGAATTTCGTAGTCTATCCTCCCAGGTCACAAAAGTTCTTGAACTCTCACCCAGCTGTGAAATCACAGCCTGTCATGAAAATCGACAAAGCCACAAACACACCTCCCAAAATATAAAACTAAATATATATATATACACAAGATTGTTCATATAACCTTCCAGCAGAAGTACACAAACCTGGCTGTGGGCATGGCGCAGTTGGTCGCGCAAGGTTTCTATCACAGACTCCTGTGCTAGTGACTGCTGTTGGAGCTTATCTCGCAAAGCAACCGCAGCCTTCTGCAGAATGAAGAGTGTAATTGTTCAACGCACAGGGTTACAAAGGATGCGATATTTGCGGACAGGATAAAAGTATGATTATGTACATCTCGAAATCGGTTTGGAGCTTTCAGACGCAAACTTTCTTCATTTGTTGATCATGACACCTCCTGTTTCAGAACTAATGAATCTCTACTTATTCGGTCTATCATTGTATTCGTTTCAAACGCTTGTGCGTTATAAGAACTACCACTTTTAACTACAGAAGCGAGAAAAACATCACACATACCATTTCACGTTCGGCTTCAGCAACGCAAATTCTCATATTCGAAAGCTCAAGTGCGGTAGACTCCGCACGAAGGTTGCCATCTCTACACTTTGCCTTCAAGGCCATTTGCTGATGCTGGTAGTATGATTTCAAATATTGAATATGGTACTATACTTGGAACTATCACCGCAAGACGCATGCAAATAACATGAATGCAAACAAAAATGTGCAGTCTAGCACGTGCCTTGAATGTTTTACGCAAAATATCGAAAGCAGTGAAACCTTACTATAACCATGATGTCACAGCGGTGGATTGGTAATAGCACTTCAAAGTTGAACTTACTTTTACATCGCCTTGAAATGAGACTATCCTAAGGACCCACATTATAGTGGGTACACATACACTTCGAATCATACGGGTTATGCCACTGTTCATTTACATAATCCAAGCTATGTACACACTCGTCACATTCTATTGGACTCACAGAGAATATACCAGGAAAACACATACCACTCTGCTGTCAACTACCCATTTACTTCGCAAATACAATTACTATCTACACACAGCTGGTTTTGAATATAACTAAGCACTCTTATTGTAGAGCATCTAAAGTTGGGTTGTGAATTCTCTGTACTCTACACTGAAAGTTGGTCCGTACGTGGACGTGAAGTATCTGGACAAGGTAAGACGAACGAAACTGGCGGGAATCGAAACCATTCCAACCAAATTCGATATATACGTGACTGCAGAATCGCCGGTGAGATATTGAAGCTTTGACGACAAAACAATGCCCTTTTAACCAAAAAACTATCATCCTTCAAATTAGCAAAGAAATGCGCGTAATGAGCCGGAGATGCAATGTCACGAAGTGTCACAGAAGGTGATGAACGCTGCTTACTTCCAAATCATTGATGCGAGTGTCTTTTTGTTGGATGATACCCTGTACATATATTAAAAATGTAGAAAAACATCGATTGTTGCAAAGTAAGACGATGTCGACTCAGCTTGAATATACACAAAAGCACGCTGACCAAATGATCATGAGAATTCACATTTACTGTTTAGATGCTCATTGGCCAAAACTACTTTACGCCAAAGTACAGAAATAACAAGAATCTCGCTAAAACCGGTGTGCAAGCAAACAATAACTACAGCAGTTCCTTGCAGGCCCTGCACGCTACAGGGCGTAAATCGGCCGTTCTGCTAGATGGAACATACCTGTTGTGCCTTGTTAGTCTCGTTATAAGTCACCAGCAGCTCCTCTCGGGTGGTTTTCTCAGCCAACAGAGACTGCAGATACATTTCAAATTGGATAGTTTAGAAGGAAGCATGGTTCTAGTGAAGTATATTGAGTAATAAATTTGTATCCACGTCGGAATCTTGTCTAAATCCTTATTCACACACACACACACACACACACACACACACACACACACACACACACACACACACACACACACACACACACACACACA